CGGACGGACGGACACACAGACAGAGGGACAGACGGACAGCTAGACAGACGGACAGATGGACAGAAGGACAGACAGACAGACAGCCCGACCTGCTCCACGATCAGCCTGGACAGCACGTCCGTGAGGAAGCCGCCGAGGAAGGAAGGATGGATGGACGGACACACAGATGGACATGCGGACACACAGGCGGACGGACAGACAGACAGAGGGACAGAGGGACAGACGGATGGATGGACGGACAGACAGCCCCACCTGCTCCACAATCAGCCTGGACAACACGTCCATGACGAAGCCGCCCAGGGATGGGTGGATGGACGGACGGATGGATGGACACCCAGACAGACTTCCAGACAGATGTACGGATGGACACACAGAGAGACTTACAGACAGACATCTAGACAGATGGACGGATGGACGGAAGGACAGACAGACAGACAGCCCCACCTGCTCCACAATCAACCTGGACAACACGTCCATGACGAAGCCGCCCAGGGATGGGTGGACGGACGGACGGATGGATGGACACCCAGACAGACTTACATACAGACAGACAGATGGATGGATGGACACACAGACAGATGGATGGATGGACAGACAGACAGACAGCCCCACCTGCTCCACGATCAGCCTGGACAGCACGTCCGTGACGAAGCCGCCCAGGGATGGATGGATGGATGGATGGATGGAACAAGCAGACGGATGGACACACAGACACACGGACGGACGGACACACAGACAGAGGGACAGACGGACAGCTAGACAGACGGACGGATGGACAGAAGGACAGACAGACAGCCCCACCTGCTCCACGATCAGCCTGGACAGCACGTCCGTGACGAAGCCGCCGAGGAAGGATGGATGGACGGATGGAACAAGCAGACAGATGGACACACAGACACACGGATGGACGGACACACAGACAGAGGGACAGACGGACAGGCACACAGACGGACAGACGGACAGAAGGACAGACAGCCCGACCTGCTCCACGATCAGCCCGGACAGCACGTCCGTGACGAAGCCGCCGAGGAAGGATGGATGAACAGAACAAGCAGATGGATGGACACACAGACACACGGACGGATGGACAGACAGACAGAGGGACAGACGGACAGCTAGACAGACGGACGGATGGACAGAAGGACAGACAGAGAGCCCCACCTGCTCCACGATCAGCCTGGACAACACGTCCGTGACGAAGCCGCCGAGGAAGGAAGGATGAATGGATGGACACACAGATGGACACGCAGACACACGGACGGACGGACAACACACAGACAGAGGGACAGACGGACAGACAGACGGACGGACGGACAGCCCCACCTGCTTCATGATCAGCCTGGACAACACGTTCATGACAAAACCCCCCAGGCGGGGGTAAGCGGCCAAAGCCTGGATGACGGTGCGCATCAGCAGCACTGGGAGCGGATTCTGATCCAACAGCTGCTGGGTCACCACTGCCAGCACCTCCGAGGTGTAAACGTTGCGCTCCGCAAAGCACAGGTTGGTGGCTGTGGGGAAAGGGGGGGGACAACGGAGGAGGGGACAATGGGACACCTTGGGGACAATGGGACAACCCCAGGGTGACAACGCTGTGGCCAACATCACCACCAGCATCACCAATCTGTGCACGTTGTGACCCTCAGATCACAGCTTGGTGGCTGGGGGGGGGGACAGGGTGACAATGGGACACTTGGGGACAATGGGACACCTGGGGGACAATGGGATGGGGTTGGGGACACCCCAAGGGTGACAATGCGACGCTGTGGCCAACATCACCACCAGCATCACCAATCTGTGCACATTGTGACCCTCAAAGCACAGCTTGGTGGCTGGGGGGGGGACAGGGTGACAATGGGACACCTTGGGGACAATGGGACACCTGGGGGACATGGGGATGGGTTTGGGGACACCCCAATGGTGACAATGTGACGCTGTGCCCCACATCACCACCAGCAGCAGCAGCGTCACCCATTGCGCACAGCGCGCTCTATGGGGCACAGATTGGGGGCTGTATGGGGGGGGGGACACCTTGGGGACAATGGGACACCTTGGGGACACCCCCAGGGTGACAATGGGACACCTTGGGGACACCCCCAGGGTGACAATGGGACACCTGGGGGACACGAGGATGGGGTTGGGGACACCCCAAGGGTGACAATGTGATGCTGTGCCCCACGTCACCATCAGCATCACCAATCTGTGCACGTTGTGACCCTCAGATCACAGGTTGGTGGCTGGGGGGGGGGACAGGGTGACAATGGGAGACCCAGGGGACAATGGGACACCTTGGGGACATGGGGATGGGGTTGGGGACACCCCAAGGGTGACAATGTGACGCTGTGCCCAACATCACCACCAGCAGCAGCAGCGTCACCCATTGCGCACAGCGCGCTCTATGGGGCACAGATTGGGGGCTGTATGGGGGGGGGGACACCTTGGGGACAATGGGACACCTTGGGG